CTATTATAAAGAAGAAGAAATATCAAACATATAACCAGAATAAAATGTTTTGGACAAAAATGTGATCCTAGTAACTTTAATGACTATAATTGTATTTAAATGTTACATCATAGTGACTATAAAATTTACACATAGTAAATTATAGTCACATTTTTGTCCGTGAATTTTTATTAGTAATATTTTAGGTAAAACCTACATTTCTCTTTTTTAGAAAGTTTTGTGTGACTAACATTCAACTGCAGTCATATATTTCCAATTTATTCTCACTTTTTTAAACTTCAACTAGTCAAACTACGAAGAATTTTATGTAATGGAGAAAGTAATCTTTAATCCGTTTTAATTGAAATGCCAATATTGTGTAGGCGAAGATTATAATATATCCAAATCCTCTTAGCCAATTTAACTTTTACTCACACCAATATTTTCACGGACACTTCCATAAAATCAATGTACCTATATTCTAATCCGAACTAATTATTCTGATACTCATTTTACAAATTTGAAACCACGGCTTGACAAAGTTGGATCCCAATCGTAGCAGTTGCCGCCCTTGAGTTATGGTTTTATTCCCACCTTGAAGTCGGTGCTCTGATCGCTCTACGTTGCTTCTTGGACATGAAGAATGTGAATGCTCAATTTTAATTATATTGGTGAAGAAATTTTAACCACAAATTAATTAGAGTTAGAGCCCCTTTATAGTATTAAAATGTTGTGTTTTTATCACATCCTCAATGCGGGCATATTTATGAGTTGTTGGATCCATGCAAGAAAATAAAATAAGTCGTTTTTATAATGATCTAAATTTAAAGTCATTAGAAGTTTGAAGGCATCATCAATTATTTTCATAGTTTTCACGTTTTGATATAGAGAATGAAATGTGATGCTTATGGTCATATAGGTTAAAAGTACTTGACACTACCACTTTGAAATATTTTTCATTCTCTTGATCATTGAATGCTTTCTACTTTATCATTAGGACAACTTTCTTTTTCGCAATCATTTTTACTGCTAAAAAAAGGTAGAGACTTGAAATTGAAATCTAAATTGATAACTTGACATGTATTAAAACAGTGAAAATTATAACCGATAACTTCCATTGACAATTTTTAAATTTCCTTTTTGCTTTATGAGTTGCGTTTTTTACTCTTTTATTTTGTTCATGACATTTGATGTGCTTAACTTTTGCCGCAGAGAACAAGAGTAGCACTTACACCTGTGACTTTTTTCAAATCTCAGCCTTTCATACCATTATTGTCTTCTTCCTCTCAAAGCAGATTCAAGTCCGCAAGATTTCAGCATCATGGCCTTCTTCCATCTCAGAAGGTATGTTTCCTTCCGTCATTAGATAAATAGATTCTAGCATGTTTTCATGTTTCCTAAATCAACAATCTTTATTCATTTTAGTCTGTATTACGTTTCTCATGGGTTTCTCATTTTTTATAAAGAGTAATGTGGATTTCTTTTGCTGTTAAAAAAATATATGCTCTTTAAATGAATGAAAATTCCTTTTCAATTTGGATTCGTGAAATATATATGCTTTCATTTCCAGATATCAAGTTGTATTGAAGGAGAAATAAGACTGCTTGAACTTAAGAATGTTAAAGAGTGAATGAACTGGTGGAAATTTTAAGTTTATTCAGCCTGTTAGTGAACTTAAACTCTGCTTTTCTGCTTGATCTACAGCTGAATTTATGCTACTCATATTTTAACAGTTTATTCTTCTTTAACAAACTTCTAACTTCATACACGATCAGACCAACCTGTGAAAAAAAATGACCTCCCTCCCTTTAGAATAGATGAAACAACCTACATGCCTATAACAATCTAAATTACGTTTTATGTTCCCTTTCACATTGTCATCATTAGTCCACTGCTTAATTAATTATTTATTAAACTGAAATAAATAGAGAAAGTTTAAAAACTACTGCTTTCCCTTGCTTCTTTAATGGTAGTTAGAAAAGGCATCATTGTCCTTTGCTTCCTATTTGAATGTGTGATACAATATTTAAAAATTGACAGAGTCATGCACAACCAATAAGTTTTAATAATCTAAATTAAGTTTTAGGTCTCTTTTACACTCTTAAGCTTTTGACTAGCAAGATGTGTCATTATAAGGCAGCCTAAATTAGATTTGTTTATAGAACCACTCTTTGTAGACCCTACCATCATGTGGTGCTTATTTTGCTAGAATTGAAATAGCTATTGTTTCAGTTTTCATTGCTTATATGATATTAAAATCAAATCATATATTTCATGTGTTGTTAAAGCTAATAAAGTTGAATCACTTTTAGATATATATATTTGTAACATCTCTTCTCTAATTTTTCACTTTTATATAATATTTGTAACATCTCTCATCTACTTTGTTTCACATGTGAAATTCAGTTTGACACCTAATCATTTTTCTACTTCAGAATATGGCCAATTGAGCATGAATTTGATTTCACAATGATTAGTATATGTATTTAATAATGTAAATTAAGTTTTAGATCTCTTTTACACTCTAAAGCCACTGAAAAGTTTATTGTGGTATGGAAGAAGTATGATTTTCTTTTCTCGATTTGCGTGTGTCATCCTTGCACATGGTCCATGCTATTTTTCTCTCTATCGTTCCAATTGCATCGGAAGAAGTATGACTTTTACACAGTCAAAGTTAAACATGTTTTAGAAGTTGATGTTTGCAATAGCTTTAAATTAAGATAGTCTAGGTATGTTGATAGGTTGCTAATGCTATATGGGTACTTGAAATAAATTTGACTTGAAATGATTCAGTTTTTTGATAGGGTGTTAATGTTAATAAGTATTTGCAATGATTTGGACTTAAAATTATTTAGGTTGGTGTATAGGTTAAGAAGTTATCCTTTCACAAAGAGGCCAGATTTCACCATGGTCTCATTCCATCACACAAATCAAATATGGCCTTTTTCACCAACGTGATCTGCATGGGGTAAATTTTTCATCTGCGCTTGGGGTTAGTTCGTGCAATACATTCTTTGATTTGCCTGATTAAATTCCAGTCAACGTCCATGTTGGCTTTTTTATTTACTTTTGTTTTGTCTTTTGTTCTTTATTTGCTCATTTTTGTTTTCATCCATTCAAGTGGTAAGATTTCAGGAGGTTTGATAGAAAAGTCACACAATTCTTCTTACTTACCACTAAATTGCTTCATTTTTCTAAGTTGCAAAGTCTTATCTTTTTTTTTATATACATATTTGTAATTGAAAAAGTAAAAGAAATTATTACATTCAATACAAACTTGCAATGACAGGTTTTGCAAGAAGTGTATGAGTTTTTCATTTAGGTTTTACTTTTGTGTAGGTTATATGGATTTAGTTTTTTTGTTTGTTTGGGATGTTAGGTTTATTTTTTTTAACATGCTAAATGAATTAATATCTGGTGACAATTTAGTTTAGGATGTTTTTACTTGGACTGTAATTTGCTGGTCTGGTCTGGTCTGGTAAGGTCTGGTTTCTTTGTATTTTTATAACTATCCAAGTCTGGTCTGGTCTGGACTGGTCTGGTCTGGTCTGGGGCAAATTACAGTCTAAGTAAAAACATCCTCAGTGATACTTGCTTTCACTCTATCGAAACTGCTCTTTTATACGTTTATTTTATTAATCGAAGAAAGAACATCTTTTATTTGCATGACCATTGATGATTGAAAGACTTATTGAGGGTTAGGTTGGCCTTATTTGCACTTTTTTATCAAGCCAATTTTGTCTACTGACATTAGATAGCCTTCTCTTTGTCAGGCAGGACACCAAAACGGTTGAAGGCATAACAAGAACTATTGTTATTGAGGTTGGCTCTATAACCAGTTTACATGATTCTATATGCTAAATAGTGAAGAAGTATTTCACATGAATACCTTCCGCATACATTTGAGTAACAATTTTAAGACTATAAAACACGATCTTTTAGGTCTTTGATTGCTATAGATTTTTTTATGCATCGAGCAAAATGGTCGAAAGAATCAACCACATATTTGGAGTACCTACAAGCAGGCAAATGCCAAACTACTACTCCGGTCTAATGTTACTATATAGATAAGTGTATTTTAAACAGTCCTACGTACTGGAGTCTCTAGAGATCTATCTATGTATGTAATGATACACTGAGCTCATTTTCCATACTGAAGCATAGACTACGAAATCCTTCATATATTTCTCTACCGCAAAGCTCGACTACTCTAATTACATGATTTATTTGGGACTTCGTTAAGATCTTATACATATATGACATAGCCTCATCACTCTCCTTATTACCCTTGTCACTTTGTTGTTCTGAATTCCCACCCGATTCAACAAGATCAAGAGTTGACTATCATAAAGGTCACACACGCGCTTTGGGTGTAGCTATAATATACTACGTATATATTAACTATATCTCTATATCCCATTACAAAGCCAAACAGTCTTCTGAACTCTAAATAAAATGTAATTATTTATGTAGTATTTAATGGCGGTTGTGGCAGTGAGAAAAGCTTTCGATCGATTTGTTTCCCAGTCGGTCGAGCTCTAAAAACCTTACATTTTCATAGGAACTCTGTAATAGTCCCCATCTCACAAAATTTTGTCAAATTTTCAGATTTAACTATCTCAAAAAAACTGTCAATTCCATTCAAACTAAGAAATGTGACTTTATAGTTATTTCTCTTTCCTTTGTAAAAATCTCAACTATATAGTTCTTACTTTTCATTCCATGTATATATCAAATTTGGTCAAATTTACTGAACAAAGATAGTATAGAACAATATTTTAGCATGACTGTAGTATAAATAGACTTGACATACCGAGTCCATAAAAGTTTTTCATGTACGGATATTTCTACTAAATAAGTTCAACATATCCAAAATGTAAAGGATAGTTGCAAACTTGAGGTTATAGTCATTTTGGATTTATAATTTTACTAATTTGTGGATTTCATCCTATAGTTAATAACTTTGTCCATATTAAGGACATTTTCATTGGAAATTTCATTTTTCGGTGTAAAAATTGTTTTTTTATCATCGAACGAGCATTCATTCATAAAAAGCACTCAGAAAGGGGTTGAAATAACAAAAGGACCACATGTAACCATCCGCCCGTGGACGAGACTCTGAGTTAATCACCTTTGACAAAGCAATATAACTCGCTAATCCTAACTCGGGCATATTCAAAATCATGACGATTACCACATGCCTCTCATCCCCCAATCCAAGTGCAAAAGTCTTACAGCATAAAATAAATAAGCAACAAAACACAATCGATATAAAATAAAAACAAAACACAATCGACTCAGCAGAAATAGAAATACTCGTCCAAACTGTAGTCGCAGAATTCCTCCAAGGCGGCGGTTCTGGAGGTGGACGGATCAACATCCCTTCGTCTTCTTTCACACATAGGCCACCAATGAACCCCTAAAATTTGATTTTCCAGTCCGACCGCACGATGCCGACCACCAGAACCTCCATGCTTTCACCAATAGCAATCTGTTTTGTCAAAACTCGTTCCCAAACTGCCGAAGAATAACAACTCGGCTTCGTCTTCAACATTCTGCAGCACCCTATCTTCCCCTTGCAAAACATGTCCACTGCCAAAATCAGAAGCCTCGAACCCTCCTGAAAGCTTCCTCGCTTGTTCACTGCTCTTGTAAAGCAGAAAAAACAAAAGCTTCGTCCAAACCAAATCAAGATTCACCACAATTGCAAGCCATAAAGAGAACAAAAACGAAACAAAACAAATCCCGCGATGACAACAGAACTCAATACCCTGAGAAGATATATGAGATTAGTTGCCTACCGGGGAGAGATCGACCGAACCCACGGCCTGGATAGGCCGCCGCCGGAAAAAAACCCTAGGACATGCCTAGGAGACGACCGCCGTAAGAGATAATAACATTGAAGAGTGTTGTTCACAGAAGAGATAGAATTGATAATTCACCAGACACAAGGAGGGAGCACTATAGCGGGAAAGCAGATAACCAACATGAACACAGGCTTCGGTCTTGGCAGGAGATCCAAGCGGAAAAAGTCACGAAGAGTTCATCCACTTGATCGAAGAGGCTAGGGTTTTCCACCCCTCCCTTTCAATGAATACTCATTAATTTTGAATAATGTGTAAAAATTGTTAAAACAGTCAAATTTGTTCAATACATGACCAAATATATGAATAAGTAAAGTTATAGATTTAAAATGTTTTTACTTTGTCTGTTTCCAACCAAATTACATTTGAACATTTATAAAATATACAAAGATCAAATATTACCAGATCAAATCACAAAATTTCAATGCAATTAAAAACATAAATTAAAAAAAAATGAACAAAATTTTAAATTTTCTAAAAAAGCAATAATAAAATTTCAATGCAATTAAAAACATAAATTAAAAAAAATGAACAAAATTTTAAATTTCCTAAAAAAGCAATAATAATGAACAAAAGTTGATGTTTTCACGCGGATTTTAGGAGCCAAACTAACCTATTTATCCAGAATTAAAACATGGCTCCTTTATAAACTCCTGCTTTTGCGAGAGAGCGAGAAGAGGGGCTGGTTAGGGATGGCGGCAGCTTCAGCCCGGCAAACGATGGAGGCAATGGCGGAGGGAATGTCGGCGTCTGGGAGGACAGCAGAGAAGCTGAGCCTCCCGACTCTACAATCTAGAATGAAGTGCGATCCGGAGGGATACGAAGCGGAGCTGAGCTTAGTTTACAGCCAATTCAAGTCATATGTGGAGCTCTTTGAGCAACAGGCGGCCATGACCTTCGTCTCCCACAGCGGCGTCGGTAATGATTCCACTGTCTCCAAGGAACTCGGTGACAGGGCTTCGTTCTTGGCCCATGTCACTCCGTTCTACCCAAAGCAGCTTGCCCAATTCCCTAAAGAGCTTGCTCAATTCCTTCGTTCATCTGCCCGGTCTCTGCCTTCCGGCCTCCGGGTTCAAGTTGCCCAATCCGTGATTCTTATGATTAACCGGAAGGTATCTGTTGAATTCCATTTCCTTCGTACAATATTTAGAGGGTGTTTGAATGTGCTTCTTCACAAACTACTTCCTTTTGCGTTGCTCCCAGTTTTCTTAAGCTGGGGGAGACCAGCTGTGATTCTACTTCTGCTTTTAAGCAGAAGCAAAATCAATTCCAAACACCCCTTTTTCTGTTAGGTATCTATCGAATAGCAGGAAGGTGTCTGTTGTAAACAAGCTCTGTTTTCCTGATAAACCTTATTCTAAAGATAATCTCTGTTGCTGTTTGATTTTCTTCATAAGCATTTCTCTAGATTTATCGTGATGCTAACTAAGTACATCTTTATTTCTATATATTTGTTAAAGATGAAGGAACTTAATGTTTATTTGTAATGGGCACTCCAGATGGTTGACATCCCGGATACACTAGAGTTATTCATGGAGCTACAGACTCTAGGCGACAAAGTTATTAGGCAATTAGCTTTCTCACATGTTATTCATAGTATTCGACGTATGAATCAGAAGCATAAAAATGACCCTAAGAACAAGCAGCTTCAGAATATCTTGTTTGCTATGCTGCAGGTGCTTATCTCCCTGTCCCTTGTCTAAGTGCGATGCTGAAGTTAGTTGGCTTTTTTACTTGATTTGTTAATTGTCATTTTACAGAAAGAAGACGAAACAAAAGCAAAAAGAGCACTCATCACTCTCCGTGAACTCCATAGGAGAAAGGTTTGGTTTGATGAGAGGACATCAAATGCTATATGTAGTGCTTGCTTTCACACCTCATCAAGGTTGCAATCATGGTCACACACTCTCTAATCTATGCCTTTTATTTAATTAATTCCCAATCTATATGACACTATGATATGTTTTGATTTTTTCAGAATCATGATCGCTGCACTTTCATTCCTTATTGATTATGAGAAGGTTGAAGATGATGGCGACAGTGATGGTTCAGACAGTGAAGATGACCAGAATACTCAACAGCCTCAAGTTGCGATAAATAAAGAGGCTGTTTATAAGGTTGGCTGTCTTCTACCTCTTTTCACCATTTCATTGCTGTGACAATCTGCACTTAGAGATAGAGTTATCTTGTACTACCCAGTTGTGTAGACGTTGCATCCTCTGCATGAGTGACATTGTTTTACTAGTGGATAAACTGTCAGCTACATCATGCCTGATTTATTCTGAAAATGACTGCGAACATGTTGTATTGATACACTATTCATGGAACTGGCTTTCAAGTTTTTCAGTTTATCAATGTCAATGAAACTTAAAGCCTCATTTTTTCTTACAACACCTTTATTACTAGGCAAATAAGAAGGGCACAACATCTAGCAAAAAGAAAAAGAAAGCGAAGTTACAGCGTGCTATTAGGAACATGAAGAGGCAGCAGCGGTTACAATCAGATAACAGTACCAACTCAAACTATTACTCACCACTAAACTACTTGAAAGATGCACAGGTTTGTCTTTTAAGTCTCTCTCTCTCTCTTGATGGTGATTTCAAGGCTTAGAAAATTCTCTGAAACGGTGAAACCATATTATATTTCCCCTGCAGGGATTTGCAGAGAAGCTCTTTTCTCGTCTTCAAAGTTGTAATGAGAGGTTTGAGGTATAAGCTGCAATTTCTTCACTGTATGATATGTTTTTTATTAGTCCAGCTCACTTGTAAAGTTAGAGAGAACTTTATGTTTTTTTTCTTTCAGGTCAAGATGATGATGCTAAAAGTGATTGCAAGAACTGTTGGACTTCATCACTTAATCTTATTAAACTTTTATCCATACCTTCAGAAATATGTGCAGGTACTCTCCTACTTTGCATCATTCTTGTATGATAAGCTTTATTTTTGCTTCATTTATTTCTAATTTTCAATCCATGCAGCCCCATCAACGCGATGTAACTAACTTATTGGCAGCGGCTGTTCAGGCCTGCCATGATATGGTACTACTGCACATTTTTTTATATTTTATTTATTTATTTTTATCTGCTATTTTTCGTTGTCATTTCAGTATTCATCATCCATCATTTAATTTTCTGATCTAAAAGCTTGCTAACTTCTCTTTCATAGGTGCCACCTGATGCTGTTGAACCACTTTTTAGGCAAGTAGTCAACCAGTTTGTTCACGATCGATCCAGGCCAGAGGTAATCTTTTATTCTTCGTATTACCAAATATTTTTTTGATACCTCGGAAAGCAGTATTACCAAATATATCTCCATAGTAATGTCGATCACATCATTTATCTAAATTTCAGGCAATCTCTGTCGGGCTTAATGTGGTCAGGGAAATGTGTTTGCGAGTGCCCTTGGTATGTAAACCCCTTGACTCTTGGCTTCTGCCCATACAGTCCATATCTATTTTATTGAATCTCACTAGAACCGCCCTATTTTTTCTTCTTAGTTGATGACAGAGGATCTTTTGCAAGACCTTGTATTATATAAAAAATCACAAGAGAAGGCTGTTTCTTCTGCTGCTCGATCACTTGTGACATTATTCAGAGAGGTATAACCATGCAATATTTTCATTTTTTGCTTCTGCTATGGAAGTGGGTGTTTTTTTATATGCACATGCTAACCAGAACAATCTGCAGATTTGTCCTACACTGCTTATCAAGAAGGATAGAGGACGCCCTTCTGATATAAAAGCAAGACCAAAGGCATTTGGTGAAGTGAATGTTGTGAGCAATGTTCCTGGAATTGAATTGTTGGAAGAGGATGACGAGGAAAGTGATAATGATGTGGAAGGCGGGTCCATCGTTTCATCCGACAATGATAAAGTAGGTGATGAAGATCTTTCCCCTGTTGAAGATGATGAGCCTGATGATGATGCTTCCGAACATGCACTCAGTTTATCTAGTGACGAGTGTGAAATTGATGATGAAGATTGCAGTGATATTGACAACACTGATGAGGTAGAAGAAGAAAAAATGTCTGACGATGAAGATGCTGATGACTATTTAAGTGAAGAGAATAATGAAGATGAGTTTGATGACCTGTCTTGTAGTCTAGGTACTAGTAGTACTCAAGGTCCTTACGGTGGGGAAAATAAATCCAAGGCAAAGAAAAGGAAGTTTGATGATTTTGATGAAAAGCTGCAAGCTTCTAGTAATAGTCTTAGGGCGCTAAAGAAATTAGCAGGATCAAAACTTGGAAACGATTCTTCAGAAAATGCACAAGATGGCATTCTATCCAATGAGGACTTCCAAAAGATTAAAGAGATGAAGGTACATAGTTATAGTTTACTGCCCATGTCTCTTTGTTAATCATTTTTGCTCGTACGGATCATGTTTATGGACACTCTCAGTAGGGATTATTATTGTAGAATCCATAAAAGTAGAGATTATTCTTGTGAATTTCGCCATCATTTTTTATAATATGATTTGTCTTGCCTATTTTTCTCAGGCTAAAAAAGAAGCTAGAGTTGCTTTGACCAAGACTGGATTTAAACTTCCTAGCTCAGACGAACTTAGTTCCAAAAGAGTTAACGCCTCAAAACTTGAGGTTTGTATTCTTCTCTGAAAGTTTGTTTTGTGTGTGTTTATTCTGGTGAGGTTTCTTACGTACGAAGTATATGATTTGGTAGGTGTGCTATAGTATATGCAAGGAGAAAGTATAATTTTAAAACTGGCCCCCCACAAGAAAATGGCAGTACAAAGTACAACTAACTTGTAATGTCATTATTTTTTAATGTTAGGCTAATATAAAAAAGAAGTTAAGCAGAGAAGAAAAGCAAGCATTAATGAAAGCTCGCAGGGAGGAGCGAGGAAAGTACCAGGCTCGTGCTGCTATTAAGCAGAAAAAGGTATGTTTTTCTATTCCTCCCATTTTTCCTAATTTCTTGTATGTGGCATTTTCATTCAGATGCTCTCCAAGTAGCTTTTGGGTTCAAATTTTTGTCATTATTATTGTGTTTTGTTGGGAAGAACCAAGACTTGAACATTTTATCCTAAGAGTATGTTTTTGTTTGGCTCCCCAGTCATGGCATATTTTAACCTCTTGCATCTCTCACTTTCTTAGATCCCCATTTTTTTTTCTTCCATTGCACTTGCTTATCATTCACCCATGACATATGAAGACCTTGACTAGGACGAGTAATTTGAGAGTTTGTTGTTCCTTCATGGAATCATATATACTCATAATATGACAACCACCATCCCCATTCCCCAACCACCCGTTCTTATAGTGGGATCACCCACATTGGGGTTTTACCGAAAATATGACTGAACTTATGGCCGCATCAGTGTAAAATTCGTTATAATCATGGTATTGTGTATTAATTTCACAAATTTTTCACTATCTTTATTTTAGTCACATATTAGTCATTATTTCTATATTCTATGACATCTTGTTCTGACTGTAACTTGTTGTAAATG